CTCCCCTCCCCGCTCGAAGCTTCCATGGCTTTGCGCGGTGACCATCCCATCTCGCTGGCGACCGAGGGGCGGTGACCACGGGAGATGCTGCAACTGGGGCGACAGGGTGCTACCACGGCGACGCGCTACCTCGCAGCATTGGAGCTCTGCTTACCTCGCCGGACCCGGCCACGCCGGAGGTGCAACCAGCCATGGCAGACTACACCCCACGACGATTTTTTTGCTGAAACTGGTTGTAGCAAATTCGATCGCCGGTGGTAGCAAAAATCTACTACGGTTGCAGCAAAACGGCGTCATCGTCATCGCGGGGTCGCAGCTGAGATAAGAAGTTTTGAAGCTTTTTTCAATGCGGTTGTAACTTTTATAACTGTTGGTTGCAACTTTTCGTTTTTCGTCCATGGCTTCGTTTCCACGGTTGAAACTTTTTTTATAGTCGGATGAAGATTTTTTCATCGCTAGATGAAGCTTTTTCTGTCACCGGTTGTAACTTTTCGTCCATGCCTTTGTTTCCACGGTTGAAACTTTTTTTATAGTCCGATGAAACTTTTTTCATCGCTAGATGAAGCTTTTTCTGTCACCGGTTGTAACTTTTCGTCCATGCCTTCGTTTCCACGGTTGAAACTTTTTTTATAGTCCGATGAAGCTTTTTTCATCGCTAGATGAAGCTTTTTCTGTCACAGGTTGTAACTTTTCTTGTTCATCCATAGCTCCAGTCGTATACTGGTTGAAGCTTTTTTCGTAGCAGGTTGAAGCTTTTCCTATCGCTAGTTGTAGCTTTTTTTCGTCATAGTTTGCAGCACTGGGCATCTCCCTGGGCACTCGATTTTTTTTGTTCGCAAGTGGGGGATGAGCGCCGGCGAGCACACCGGTGAGCTCCAGTCGTCGCCACCGGAGCTGCAACGGTGGCCATGGAAGCTACAACCGCAGGGATGGGCTATTGCATGGGGCGAAGCCGGTGAAGAGGATGGTCGCCGAGGACTGGGACCGGGGCGACCGGCGACCAGGCGGCCGGGAAAGACGGCCGGCGAGGACGGCGACCAGGGACGAGGAGGGCAGGCGAGGGAGGAGCGGTGACGAGGGGGAACGTGAGCGGCGGGCGAGAACCCCGGTTCGCGAGAGGAAGACGACACTCGTTACGCGCTCGCGGGAGGAAGACGATGATCTGGTTGGATAAGGATCCAACGGCTCGGGACGGGTCGATCTGAAGGCTAGGGTGCGACCGGCCGAAACGTTCGGCCGGCGCACCGACGCCTAGCATCGCCCTTTCTCTAACGACATTGGATGGAGGGCATTCTCCCTTGGGTGCTCACTCGATGACCGCACCAAGTTCGCAAAAACCATGGAGGTGTGTTCTCAGTTTAAGAGCATTGACGAGATGCATAAAGAGGCAGACGTTATGTTGTTGAAGGCGATGAAAATGAAGTTAAAGAGGTTGTATCCTAACCCAGCCAAAGGCGCTATATCAGTGGACATACTGTGGTGGGCGATGGATGAGGTCGAGTCGGCCGATCCAGGTCAGAGAGCCTGATGGGCCAAGTACAGGCTTTGTCAAGGCTTCTCATGACCAATTAGACGTCACGGTGGCGCCGACCACCATCGTTCTGTAGGACGAGGAGGAGGAGGAGATGATGGATGCTGCCAATGACGAACCGACTGAACCTCGGGACGCTGACAATGCCAAAATGGTGGAGACGGCTGTCACAGCGCCTGAGCCAGACGACTGTACCCTGCCCTTGGAGGTCAACGATTACAAACCTCAAGGCTATCGCCACTCCCAGCTCCTTCAGGCCCACTCCAGCTAGGATTTAGTGCTTGTTGGGATGGATGTCAATGGATGTAAAGCTTGATTTACGCTCCCCTAGTAAAAATCTTACTCAATCCCGTTCGAACCGCTCAAATCCCTAATCGGGTATGCCTAAATCAAGCGCCAAATCGAACCCAAGAGGTAGATTGGATGCCTAGTGTGCGATGCGTAAATCGAATGTGGACATGATAAATTGACTTCATCCAAAATAGAGGACTTACCGTCATTGACGAACGCCTGCAGGTGAAGTGATGAGGCCGATGCTTACCATCTAGATCTTCGCTCCGATGCTCGCCCTCCAGATCCCGTGCTCGCTGTTGTTGATGTGAGAGTGGAGAGGGGGGAGAGTGAGCGGTGAGAAAAGGATGAGGGGAGTTACGGCAGCATTTCGGGAAGTAACGCGGCGTCTTAAGTGTAGCTCCCGCGTGCAATCTCAAATGCCCACGTGCTTGAGAGCAACTCTAATGGGGCGACCCATTTCGTCCGCGGGCATCCGTTTGGGTCGGCGCGGACAAAAAAGCCGGCCCAACGCGCCGACCCAAACGGACGCGCGTCCTCTTTCGTCCGCCTGCCGATCTATTCCTGGCCCATTTTGAGCCTAATTTGCGTCGGCGCGGACACAAGACGGACGCGCGCGCGCTCGCCCTCTTTCCTCACCGGGCCCGCTGGTCGGTGGCACATTGGATTCACACCCACGCCCGCCTGCTACGTCGCCGACGCTGCCGGCCATTTTTTCAGATAAAAATGGATACATAGATAGTTCTAACGTACACAGATAAAAGAAAAGACTACTACTCGTCGCTTGACTCCGACTCGGTAATATCCTCCTCCGACGTCTGAATGTAGGCGTTAGCATACGCCTCGTCTCCAAAGTCCAACCCGCCGTTTCTTGTAGCTCCAGTTTCAATTGAGCTTCCTGCTTCCGCGAACGCTTGTCTTCCCAATAGACGGCTCGCTCCCTCCTCCTCGCGTCCCTCTCCAACCTCCTTTGCTTGTAGAACTGGCGCTCGTCGACGATGTCCTGCGGGAAGCCTCCGCACCACACCACCAAGGCTTCCACGTCCTTCTCCATGATGGCGAGGCGACGCTGCCACCTCCGGTGGACACGACGATCCTCGTCGGTGAAAAGCCGCGGGAGAGGCGCCAGATCCTGTGGCTGCTGGCTCGACACATTGGGAAAATTCATATCCCAACGAGGCCTCAGGAGGCGCCACGCCGCCTGATACGTCCATTTTGCATCATGCTTTTATATCGATATTTATTGCATTATGGGTTGTTATTACACATTATGTCACAATACTTACGCCTATTCTCTCTTATTTTATAAGGTTTACATAAAGAGGGAGAATGCCGACAGCTGGGATTCTAGGCTGGAAAAGGAGCAAATATTAGAGACCTATTCTGCACAGCTCCCAAAATCCTGAAACTTCACGGAAGACGTTTTCAGAATATATAAAAAATACTCAGCGGAAGAAGTTCACTAGGGGGGCCACACCCTGCCCACGAGGGTGGGGGGCGCCCTACCCCCCTGGGCGCGCCCCCTACGTCGTGGGCCCCCTGATGGCCCTCCGATGACCATCTTCTGCTATATCAAGTCTTTTGATGGGAAAAAATAATAAGCCATCTTCTCGGACGAAACTCCGCCGCCACGAGGCGGAACCTTGGCGGAACCAATCTAGGGCTCTGGCGGAGCTGTTCTGCCGGGGAAACTTCCCTCCAGGAGGAGGAAATCATCGCCATCGTCATCACTAACGCTCCTCTCATCGGGAGAGGGCAATCTCCATCAACATCTTCATCAGCACCATCTCCTCTCAAAACCCTAGTTCATCTCTTGTATCCAATTCTTATCTCCAAGTTCGGGATTAGTACCTGTGGGTTGCTAGTAGTGTTAATTACTCCTTGTAGTTGATGCTAGTTGGTTTAATTGGTGGAAGATCATATGTTCAGATCCTATATGCATATTAATACCCCTCTGATTATGAACATGAATATGCTTTGTGAGTAGTTACGTTTGTTCCTGAGGACATGGGAGAAGTCTTGCTATTAGTAGTCATGTGAATTTGGTCTTCGTTCGATATTTTGATGAGATATATGTTGTCATCCCTCTAGTGGTGTCATGTGAACGTCGACTATATGACACTTCACCACTATTTTGGCCTAGAGGAAGGCATTGGAGAGTAATAAGTAGATGATGGGTTGCTAGAGTGACAGAAGCTTAAACCCTAGTTTATGCGTTGCTTCGTAAGGGGCTGGTTTGGATCCATATGTTTTATGCTATGGTTAGGTTTACCTTAATACTTTTGTTGTAGTTGCAGATGCTTGCAATAGAGGTTAATCATAAGTGAGATGCTTGTCCAAGTAAGGACAGTACCCAAGCACCGGTCCACCCACATATCAGATTATCAAAGTACCGAACGCGAATCTTATGAACGTGATGAAAACTAGCTTGACGATATCCCCATGTGTCCTCGGGAGCGCTTTTCTCTATATAAGAGTTTGTCCAGGCTTGTCCTTTGTTACAAAAAGGATTGGGCCACCTTGCTGCACTTTATTTATTTTTGTTACTTGTTGCTCGTTACAAATTATCCTATAACAAAACTATTTGTTACCACTTATTTCAGTACTTGCAGAGAATACTTTGCTGGAAACCGCTTATCATTTTCTTCTGCTCCTCGTTGTGTTTGACACTCTTACTTATCGAAAGGACAATGATAGATCCCCTATACTTGTGGGTCATCACCGCCGCATCGTGTGCGCGGGGCGCCTCCTCTGCGGTGTCGAAGGTGCCGAGGATGAGATATTTCTCGCGAAACCAGATCTCGGAGGAGAAGGCGCCGGAGCGGCGCTCGCGGACTCTACGAAAATCCGAAGCGCCCAGGCGACGGATCGACATGGTGGCGCAAAGGCGGCGAGAGTGGGCGGCGGACAGACTATGGAGGGAGCGCCTTCTTTATAACGAGCGTCGGCCGCGGCGCGCGCGCGAACCTTTCCCGCGCGCTGGAATGCCAAAATCAGCGCGCGCTAGGCCGCTTTCCCCCGCGCGCGAACCTTTTCCGCGCGCTGGTGCGCCAAAACCAGGGCGACGACATGATTTAAGACGCGCGCGGTCATGAAATGGGTCGGCCCGTTGGAGTTGCTCTGAGTTGCATCGCTCGAGCCTGGGAGAAACGACCGATTCGAGCGTTTCGAGATTTAATCAAACGAATCACAACCGCTTGAAAGTAATGCAGGCATACACAAGCGCTCATATACACGCGCATACACTCACTCCTATGAACGCACACACGCACACCCTACCCCTATGAGCACCTCCGAGAGACTGAGCCGGAATATCATCTTGAGATTTACAAAGTCACCGTAGGCGCCTCGTCGTCGACGGCAACGTCTCCTCCCACTAAAAGCGCATCGCCGGAAATCCTGAAATAAATTCAGGAATAATGCGAGCACCAGAATTTGAACCCTGATGGATTAAGGATACAACTGTCCACCTAATCAACTCAACCACAGGTTGATTCGCGGCTACCAAATGTTTCTGAAATCAAAATCAGAAGAATGAAAAAAACGCAACTTGCCTTTTCCAATTCTGCACAGCTGCAGTGGATCTTTTGCGATGCAACCGAGCCAAATGCCTCGAGGCGCCACGGGTAGGTACGAGTGACAACACGGACGGCTGGATGATGACGAGGGGCAAGGTTGGTTCGAGAGCGTGGGCGTCCGATTCGACTCGACGTCTGCCGTCTGCCCCGTTCCACAGAAGCAGGAGGGGCGAGCAAAGGACGGCACAAGAGGATTAGGAAAGCAAAGCCGCCGCCGCCCGCCGATTCCTCCGCCTTTTCCACTGATCCCCTCCAACCCGGCGACCGCGCTCCCTCCGATGGCCGTTAGCTCGCGGCTACCCGCCCCTCCCGCGCGGGGCCTCCTCCGCCGCTCGCCGCCGCGTATCCTCCCTTCGAGACGCCTCGCTTGTGGCACCCGCGCTGTCTCCGGGAGCCCTGGGCCAGGCGGATCGCCCCTCCCCAGGCGGCCGCCGGCGCCGCTGGACGCCGCGGCAGTCGCGCCGCCCTCGCCGGCGTCCTCCGCGGCGTCCTCCGCCGCCTCGGCCATCGATTTCCTCACTCTCTGCCATAGCCTCAAGGTAAATCACGTGATGCTTGCTCCTTCCTTTGCTGGCCTTACGTGGTGTGCCATCAGACTAGTGATACTCCTAGGTCCTGGCAAAACAGTAAATAATTTTGATATAGCTTTGCTAACTTGTGCTAAATACCGGCGAGCACACAAAAACTATACTCGATCCGAGCAGGGCTTCGTATATGCAAGTTTTGAAACGATCAATTCGTATGGTGAATTGGTGATTCATGACGTCTCACGATGGCTGCTCAGCTCACATGTCTAAGTATATGATGTGGAGTGCATGAACATGGACTCCGTTTTCAATTCATGCCTTCATGCCCCCATGCTTATGATGCGAGATTCTCCAGCAGATCACCTATCCACTACATAAAAGCTCTCAATAGTCGATTATTTCTTCCTCCAACAGATCCCCTATATGGCTGCCAATGCCTAAAACATTTAGGCGGCCAACTAAAAACCAGGCCCAACCTCCTACATGTAGGGGTGCCCCCTCCCACCCTCTATCCTTCTGTGTTTATTCTTGGTGAGCTGAATTTTCAGCCCCTAGGGGCTGAGGGCCATTGCTGCCTCTCGCTGCGCGCTGCCTTGCCCAGCTGTCTGCCACCACCGGAGCTCCGTCCACCGCTGCACCATCCCCTCCTCACCCCTGCCACCTGTTTCTCCAGCGCGCGCCGCCTTGTGTCCCCTCTGCACAGCCACCACCTATCCGTACTGTGTGAACTGCCGTCCCGTGCCTGCTGCTGGAGCTACTTTGTGTGCTGCCATGGCTCCCCGTCCCCATGTTGCCTCCCCTCCGCGTGGGCCAAGCTCGGCTGCTGCAAGTGGCAACACGGCTGGTTCGAGCTGCAGCGCTGTTGCACGAGCTCCGGAGCATCCCAAAGGTAGGGCAGGGCACCGCTGATGGAGTGGGTAGGAAAAATAATAATTGGCCCACTGACATGTAAGTGTGTATACACAAAAGAGGGGTGGGTTTTATTAGGTACTAGTCTTAGGGATCTGCTGGAGATGGTATCCATCATATTGCACTATTCTGAGGTTTATTTGGTTGTTCCTTGTTCCGCTCTTACCACAGACCACTAAAAGGAAAGGCTGGATAAATCACAGCATCAAGGGTCCCGAGTCTATTGCTGATCACATGTATCGTATGGCCCTGATGGCTTTGATTGCTGATGACCTACCTGCTGTAAATCGAGAAAGGTTAAGTTTTCTATGTTTCCCCTTTTCAATATTGATATTAAAGTGACATTTTTAGGTGCCATCTTCATTAATCATTACTATTTTACCTGCTGCTAAAGGAACATTTATTTTGCTGTAACAGGTGTATCAAAATAGCTATCGTTCACGACATTGCTGAAGGTAGGCCAATAAACATATTTATATTTACTTGTTGATTCTGTGTGCTGTCCTTCACCTGCTCTTTTGTTAGCATCTTTCAGTTTTCAACCAAGTGCTTTTCAACTATTCATACCTTATACCTTATTTTATTAACAGCTATTGTTGGCGACATCACTCCATCTGACGGCATACCTAAAGCAGAAAAAAGCAGGCGTGAACAAGAAGCTCTAAATGAAATGTGTGAAGTTCTTGGTGGTGGATCAACAGGTATGTCTCCATTTGTGACAAGAATTTTCAGTTCTTAAATGAATGTTCGATAACATTGTATTAACATTATTGAATTTACTGTTTTCTAGCTGAGGAAATTAAGGGGCTGTGGGAAGAATACGAAAACAACTCCTCTGTTGAAGCCAATCTCGTAAAGGATTTTGATAAAGTAAGCCTGCCATTATTTTCTTAACTTCATACTTTGTTAATTAATATTGGTTCTGCTTTCCTTTACATGTGTCATCTAATTTGTATCATATATATCAGGGTTATCATTTGTTGTTGCCATGCAAGTTTCTTTAGTTTGGGTTTCCTTCCAGACATGCAAAGTTCTGGCACTTGAAAGCATTTAAGTTTGTTAACGGATTAATAATACTACTTCAAAAGTTTTGTCTCATGCAAACATGTTCATGTGTATTGTTTTGGTTTACTCTGATGCACATTCTGTTTTGTTTTCTTTGTTTTTATGTTCTGTTTGGTCCAGCTGATTTCACCTGTTGCTATTTTTTGTTTTGTTTCAGGTGGAAATGATTCTTCAAGCGTTAGAGTATGAGAAGGGTATTAACTTCTGCCATAGTTGATTTGTCTGCATTCAAAGAATGAGTCACTTGCTAATTTTAAATAATTTCCCCATATACGAACTCTGGCATGGTGTGCATTGGTTCCTTATTCTGAAACAACCTGCCCTTATCAATAATATGCGTCTAAATCACCATGTTCTTATTGCATCTTTGTGATCCTTTGATATTGATAATAGTAATGTCTAGCGAAACTCATGTATACCTGGCTTCGGCAAGAACATAGTTGGAATCTGTTGCTACCTTGTTGACAATAACAGGAAACTACTTGATTCATACGGCCAAACTTGTTTTTGCTTCCAGCACTGTGCAATGTATCAATCCTGTGTGCATATGTTGCCATCTTCCTCTTCTGCACATATGTAATGTACTAATCCATTTATGCTGACTCTGCACATCTTGAAAAATGCAGAGCATGGAAAAGTGCTAGATGAGTTCTTCCTCTCTACTGCTGGTAATGTGATTGATCAACTGTATAGACCGTAAAAAGTTGAAATTGCTTCCTTTTGCTAAATATACTTTTCAAACATGTTATTGCAGGCAAGTTCCAGACAGAGATTGGCAAGAGCTGGGCTGCTGAAGTGAATTCAAGGAGAACCAATGGATGTGGACAGAACTAGGGGTAACTTGATGTTTGGTGCTCGATATAGCCTCTATGAAATTTTCATGATGGGGTGGTGTGGCGAATCTCAGACTCCAGATTCAAGCCCACTTCGAGGCAAACATAACCAATTTGCCTCAGCTACCAGGTGTTGGTAAGGAATAACGGAATGGCGTCGACAGAAACTCGGGGATCTAAATTTGGTTAAGAGCTCAGTGGGCTGAATATGCACTGGGACTAGTAGTATGTAGCAGTTTTTATGTATGCTGTTGGTTAGGAACATCCAAACACGTTGTTTTTGTTGAGTCGGGAAATAAAAAGGCTGGGGCCGTTCTCGACTGCCACCTTCCTTCGGTCGAAGTTGATCTCTCTTATTGCTCTGTGCCAATTAGTCATTTCACTCTTAACTTTTTGGTTGACGGATGCGTCTGATGGAAGTTACAGAGACAGGTGAAGGCACATATCCGGAGCCCGGACTAACCAATACAAGCTCAAGAGAGGAATCGTCATGATTTGCAGGAGAAGTGGGCAATTAGCGGTGAAGCAAAAATCTTGAAAGTGAATCATCAGCAGTCACTTTGGTTGTCTAATTTATACAGCAAATAAAAGAAATTCCAACTCAAAAATGAATGATTTTGCCTAAAAGCTCGCACAGCCGAAGTTGTAACAGACGCTTAGAGGTGAATGCAAATCACTGAAAGGACTGGAATACAACAACGACAACAACAACAAAGTCTTTAGTCCTTAGAGGTGAAACCATAAGATCTTGCAAGTCGCAACCAACTCATGGCTCTAGCACATGGATAGTAAGCTTCCACGTACCCCTGTCCCCTGTCCATAGCCAGTTCTTTAGTGATACTCCAATCCCCGGAAGGACTAGAATAAATCCAGAAAAAAGCAAGCACCAATGCAAGTCTAGGACTTGAACTCTAATAAAGGGAAAACCACTGTCCTCCTAATCATCCAACCACATATTGGTTCAGGTGCATAGTGTAGTTGAATACTATTGGTTCCACAAGGGATGAATTACACAACAGTACATCACTTCCGCTTTTCACTTCATGCCAAACAGATTATAGTCTCTAAGATCTTGACTAAGTTCTACAATCACGGGGTAAGTTACAAGAGTTACTACTCATCACTAGCTATCATCAGCTCGATATTGCCAAAAAAAGAAGACTAATAACAAGTCACTCACAAGCTGCACCTTTGCTAAGAAAAAGATCTCTTGGGTTAACTGTGAAACGTCACCAAAAACATTTATATCCCTTTACATGACTACCGGCACCATATCCATCCTACCTGAACCACCATCTCATGCCGGCGTTTATCGGGTCATGAAGAAAAGGGGTGTAACTGCTGATGTAGGGGTTAGCTGTCCGGCCAATCTTTAGCCAGATAGCTCTGTGGTAGCCAGCAGTGAAAGGAGAATGATACATTAGCTTCAACAACTGCAATTTCCGGAAAACCAGAGTGAGATATGAATTCACCAAGAGTACTGTTAATATAGTAATAGTAATAAGTTCGTCTATAATCTGAATTACAGGTGAAATATCATGCAAATTCCTCTTGTCCTTAAACAAAACAAAATGTTACTTGGGCTAAGCAGATGAATACTAATAGTGCCTTTATGAAATGTTCTAAAATGTAGCTCATGGTACCAGGTTATTGAGACCAAAAGACATTGTCCGGCTCTATTAACATACAAGAGTTGGGGTTACCACTTCCCAGGTTTAAAATTCACTAACCAAAATCAGTTACGTGCTATACTGCTATTGTCAGGCATACAACAGTCCTGACTATACAACCAATCTAACTGAGTTTTTAACAGATTAACAGAAGCAACACCCATTGCCTAGGTCCTTTTCTAAAAGGAAGCAGCAGTGTTTAGTCAAGTTGGTGGCTTGGCGCAGCCATTGTAGAAATTGCTTGACTGGTCTCTTTAGATTACTGGAAGATATTAATTCCGGACTATTCCCATATATTTGTCATGTGTGTACCCTTACATGGGCTTCAGCAAGCCCCATGCTCCAGAAGGATGGGCAGCAAGAGAGATGCCTTAGAGGCTTAGACAGCTGATAGAGCCTAGTTATTTCCTTTCTCAACTAAGAAGTTAGTGCAGTAATTTCCTATTGTTAGAGCATGTCCAACCCAAATGGGCTAATTTGGCCCGTCCGCGGGCGTGCCTGCTTTGAACCCTCAATTGTACGCCCGCGCAGCCGTGCCCCTCAAATTGTCCAGATGCATGCATATGATTGGTGGGGATGGAAGAGAAAGAGAAAAGAATAAAGAAATACAAAAGGTGCCCCAGTGTGACATCCTGGCTTAATAAGAATGATATAGACTACTTATATCAACAAGGTGCACCTTCTTTTCCGGGAGCCCATCCGAAAGGAACCTCAAAGTTAAGTGTGCTTGACTTGGAGCTATTTGAGGATGAGTGACCGACCAGGAAGTTGATCCCTGGTGCGCATAAGTGAGGACAAGGTGCGCAGGAAAGACTAGTGTTGGCCCGTGAGGCTAGTCTAGATCCTAGGTGGTAGTCAGGCACAACGGACAGTTGGCCGGGGCGTTACATCCAGGGTGGGCCGTGGCGGACTGCTCGGACACGCCCGGACACCCTCATATTGAAGGTTCGCAGACAGCCCAAACATATGAGGACGATTTGAGGGGTCCGGTTAGGTGGAGTTTTTCCTTCTCTCTCCT